TACCAGACAAGAATATACTCAGAGGTTTTCAGGAATCCATCCCCCCACGTTCCTCTCAGATATTACCAATAGCCATCCAACTTTTCCATCCTTATCGGACCTATTAGAGCTACAACCATTCAATTATACTACCAAGTTGGCCATTACCAGCCATGCACACTGCCTTTTATGCCTTTCTCAGGCCAGAGAATCCACTACCATAACCACCACTCAGACAGATCATTGTCTTCAACGATCCCACGTATGTAAACACATATATCATTACCTATTGGCTCTACCACATTCCGAAACGAGTCAACACGCACCAACAGTAGAGATAACATACTATCCTACACACAACAAATGGTGTCCAGTTGCGGTCCTAGATTCCTACCTTCAAAAATCCTTCAAGGAATTAAATACCGTAATGCATTTAAGGAAATGTCTGGTTAATTTGTATATATTGTTGACTGTATTAAATCTTTGATTATTCTTTTTGCCCTCTTTATTTACAGGCCTACCGTATCGTCGGTCTCGGCACACCACAACCGACTTGCTCCCTTTATACTATCCTACGCTTATGCTGGAACTTTATTCCATATACGGCTATTTGCCCCGAACACAAGTTTTAAGGCCATTTGGCCTGTATTTGTGGGAGGGGCTTAAATTAATTCACTCCCCTATATAAGGGACACCCCTTACCTGACTCATATCGCTTGAGGTCAGCATCAGAATGACCCTCCCACCCACTCCTCATTTCAACACTTTCTCTTTTCTTTCCATTTACTTTACTTACTCCTTGGTGGGCCCTCTTTATTTACAGGCCTACCGTATCGTCGGTCTCGGCACACCACAACCGACTTGCTCCCTTTATACTATCCTACGCTTATGCTGGAACTTTATTCCATATACGGCTATTTGCCCCGAACACAAATATATATATGTCAGTGTGCTTCTGTGTCTGTGCACACATTTGCGTCTGTGTGTTTGTATGTCAGTGTATGTATCTGTGTCATGGTGTGGGCATGTATTGTTTGTGTGTGTCAGGGTGCATGTGTGTATATGTGTGTGAATGTGTCTGTGTGTATCTATGTGTGTATGTGTCGGTGTCTATATGAATGTGTGTGTATGTGTATATGAATTTGTGTGTGTGTGTGTGTATGTGTCGGTGTATTTATATGCATCTGTGTGTTAATGTGCATGAATATCTATGTAAGTATGTATGTATGTATGTATGTATGTGGTAGTGAATGTGCATACATCCAAGCAGTCAAACACCCTCACAACATACAAGCACACTCCTGCAATCTAAATCAAATATTACATACACACCCCTGCATTCAAACTAAAAAAATATATAAAAACACACCCTTCACTCAAAGACAAATACTTCACACAAATGTACATCCATATTTAAAAGTGAACATTAGATTCAGACACACCCCTGCAATCAAACGCAAACATTAATTACAAACACACCCCTGTATTAAAACACAATAACTATATACAAGCACCCCTTTAAACACCAACACTGTACATTACACTATAGTGCCAGTAAACGCTGCAGCACTGTACAGATATAGAACCTAGAAATTTTTACTTGGGGTGCCTTGGAAAAATACTGAAATATTAAGGGCACCTTGAACCTAAAACATTTGGGAACCACTGATTTATACTAAGCTGGATTCATATTTCTGAAAAAAAATATCTAATAGATACACTATATGTTATAAAAAAAGAAAATTAATTGTACAGAAATGGTATTTCTGGGTCATTGATTGAGCATCATGGTGCTGTTGATGATAGGAATGGAGTTTAGAAAATGTAATTTCTTAATACAAAGAACAGTTTAAAACAGAATACAAAGAACTGTTTAAAATAGAAATCTCAATTATCATAGTTGTAGTACATTGGAATGATATATCATGTACTAGAAAGTGGAATGATGCTGTGAACAAGGATAAATCCATCAGAGAGGAATAATTAGTGCTTTTCCAGGGCTCTCAGTGTATAAAGGTCTAACCTCTGAGAGCAAGAACATAAAGCATGATAATAAATAATAACTATCTGTTTTGGTAGAAAAATTGCCTAAATGTAAAGAGGTTAGGCAATAAAATGGTACAAAGTATGTGGAAAGAAAGACATTTTTGTAACCTTAAAAGACTCTTTTGTTAACATTCACATGCCAAAGTGAAGCTTTTCCATAATCATTCCATAACCAGATATCGATTTTATACTATTACTAATTTTATGCTACTACTTGTACTAGTTAAAATACCTTACTGTATTCTTTTCTGCTCTATAAATCCCCTGCTGATAAATAATTATAAAGATGTCAGATAAGCGAGCACTTGCCCACCCACTATTAACATGTCTAGTACTCCACACGTGTTGTCCGATACACTGTCCTGCACCCGATCAGTACAGTCACACTGCTGGAAGGGAACAGAACTTATCTTGTTGACAGCAGCTCTCAGCCCATTCCGCAGTGCCCTGGTCCAAAAACAATGAGGAATGCTGGCAGCTGCAGTTCCTTGCTATAAAAACGTGAATCCTGATGCAAATGTGCGTATGTCATCATGTTATGGGTGCACACACATGTTCTGGGGTCAAAGGACCCATTTGAACATTCAGCAGTGTTTTAGGGATATTTAAATCCAAACCTGCCTGTTATTAGTGCCCTGTTGTGATTTCCACTAGTTGGTTATCTGAGAGCACATTTTATAAATTTGTCTTCTGGTTATTTGATCTTGGCTTGTTCCTGACTATACCTATATCTGGCATCCTTGAAATTCTGTTTATGCTTCTGTCTGTGTCCCTTTCCTCGGCTTGTTATGGACTATTCTTTCTATGTTAAATTTGACCATTCTGAGGCCCTGTAATACATTTATATATTTTAATTTTTTTCTTTGTGTTTTACTTAATTCTGTGTGTTGAGCCACAGTAGCATCCTGGCATTAGGTAACCAGATGTATGTGCAACCACTCACATCCAGAACAGCAGCCAACTTGGAAGAGGCAGACTGGTTCTTGGATAAAATATATATTATTTTAACAGCCAGATCAAGTTATCAAATTCCATACTGTACTATTGCTTGATATAAAATGTACCTTATTCTCATAATGCATGGTTTGACTTACACAGTGTGGTATGGAAGACCTAGAACAGCTCCGGGAGAAATGTGTTCTGTTCTAGCCAAGATTAGTTGAACTTTCGTTGTAATTTACAACTATGGCTATACCAGCTTTTAACTTTCTCCCAAGAATGATATTGCAGGACAGGAGCTATGGTGACAGAATATGGTTGCTTCCATAGCTCTTCAATAAACAGCTTCTGTCTATCAGTGTAACCTGACAAGTCTTAGACAGACCAGGACATATGTGCTACTCTAAGATAAAAGAAATCTTAAATCTTGACCAAGCCCAGCCCATAAAATATCTAAGGACATTCATAAAACATGTTTATTTTTTGCTTGTGATTTGGGTAGCACATCAACCTGTTTTTTAAACAGCAAAGTACCTTAAAACCAACTATGATGTCTTGGCTAAGAAATGCATTTGCCTATTCATTCGGAAACAATAGTATACTTGAAGTTTTAGAGTAAACAATTTATTTTTTTATTTTACATTGCTTTCTACAATGATTCTCACCTTACTGTTAATTTTGAAGATTTTAAATACAACATGATATTAATTTATGTATTGTGTTGCACTAAGTTTCATTTGCAAAAAAGCCTATTGCATATTTTGTTGATTCAATTAGCACGTTAATTTATTGGTAAAAAAGCCGCTTGGAAAGAAGTATGATGTATTCAGAGTCAAGCCATTAGTTTGTGTTTAATCAACTAAAGTTGAATGTGCTGATTCAAATTAATGAATACAAGTTTCAAGTAATGTGTCTGACTTTACTATGACTGCAATAAAATAAAATGAATCACAGATTTATTGCTGCAGATGTAATTAATACTATGTGGTAGAAATAAATTTGAATTGAATATTAAATACATTTCTGAAAATGGAAGTAATAAAGAGAAATATAAATACATATTTGTTGTAGTGGCATTTTATTTGTTTGTTAGATTCCGATAAAAACATCTGATGAAAGCAATATCAAACACTCTACTTTTTGGTAACTGCCCAGATTCATTATTTTAATATATATGTATTTTTTTAATTTTTAAAATTAATTAATTAATTTATTATTATTATTTCAATAACACATAATTGGGCACACAAAAATTCATAAAATTAGAATATTAACGTCCAACTATTTTACAACAAGACATAAAATCATAATACATATATTAGGGACATATAATACATATTGTTCTATCAATTAAACTGTATTATAATCTTATTCTAAGTACCTGAATAACAAACCAAAACATTGATGAAAAAGAAATCTGCGCGACCAAGGTGTGTGTCCCCTCCCTCCCATTATAGTAGAAGTCCTTAAGATGTAGCTATTTAAAATTTAATCAAATCAGGATAAGAACTCAACCAAGGATCCATATTTTAATTTAAGATCCAAAGCTTTGGAAAGCCAAAAAAATTACCTCGTTCCATCTTACACTGGAAATTTCTTTGATTCAATATCATTGTCAAAGTACAATTTTTTTTCCCCCATTCTTGCAATCACTATCTTCATAGCCATGAAAATCTGAATGGTCAGGAATTTGCCATTTGTATTGATATTATCTAGATATTAATGCAGGATGGCTTTTTCAGGAGATATAACAATTGTCACCTTTAAAATATCCAACATTATATGGAAAATTTTAATCCATGTGTTGTTAACTAATCTACATGACCACCAAATATGTTCAAATGTTCCTGCATGTGAACCACATCTCCAGCATAGTGGGCA